GAAAATCCTCATCAAAGAACAAATTCGTGTGATCAGACACTAAAAACAAAACATGAAGTAATTGTCGTGTCCAAGAAACCACAGTGATTCCTCAACCATCGCAAACTCTTATAGAGAGATGAATACTTGTATCGGGTCAACTGAATGTAGGAATGGAGAACTTTATGGAGAATGGGTAGGTACCAAATAATTTTGAGCCTTAATTCCTTTTTTCTAAAACCGTGAACCAGGCCACGTTACAACCCATAAAAGTCCTAATTGAAGCATAAGTCAATTCAAAAGCGTGCTACAACGAGATAGCATTTAACTGACTCCTAAGAGGTATGTTTGAATATTTGTGTTGGCATCATATGCTTGCATTATCTTTCATAAAAAAGAATCTGCAAATGTTTCTCTCTAGCTAGTGACTCGTTCACAACAGAGTTGTAATGTCATTTCACTCAAAAAAATTTCAAACTTCAAGACTTATATATGTGTTGCATTAGAATCATAATTCTCATAATAAACATTCTTCAGCATACAAAACAACTGATCGACATTAAGTAATTTTACATAATGAACATCAGTAAAGAGTTCGATCTTGTCAGAGAAGAGAGGCTTGAACATTATGTTGAAGTGAAAGTCAGCTTTCACAAGAGAAATGACTTATCCAGGGGCATGTTAACCTTTTGTCAAGAGAAAGCATCTTGGTGCTTCACAGTCTGAGTACCTTTCAGGGATGAAGTTAGCAGATGTCTCCAATCTGGGGCAATCAAGTCGAGAGTCGATCTCTCAGAGTTCATCCAAATCTGGGGCATTTCCTCAAAGCTGTCAATCAGAGCCTGTCACATCGATAAATCTCTTCAAGCTCGACCAATCAAAAGCTATCATGTCGATAAATCACTTCAATTTGCCATCAATTAGGGGCTATCACATTGATAAATCTATTCAGAATTCATTCAACCTGAGGAAGTTATGTCAAGATTTGACAAATCTCCCCAAGAAAGCTGTAGTCAAGAGTAATTTATTTCGTGACTCAAGACATCGGGGCAGACCACCTCATATCATATTGTGGCACAGATATTCCAGTCTTCTATTCAGCACAGTTTCTTCCAGAAATCCCACAGACAGGGGCATTCCGTATTCATACTCACAAAGTTGTTCAAGCCAATTATGTTGTACGAGACTACAATCAAGCTAAAAGCATCATAACGGTCACCCTGACCTAACCAGCGCACGAAGCCGCCTTCATCCTCTACAGAAAATTTCAAACCTGATTCCCCAAGTGAATTTAGAAAGTTCAGAGTCACCGTTTGATTTAGAACGCGCAAGTGCATCCCCAGCAGAGTTAATCAAGTGCGTCGCCAGAAGAGCTAAACTGGGGCATTCGTAGAGCTAAATAGAGGCATTCGCAGAGCTAAATAGGGGCATTCGCAGAGCTAAACCAGGGCATTTGCGGGTGTATATGCCCAACTCTTATCCCCAAGTGACTCAAGAGATAATTCCCCAGTGTGGCGTAAACTTGGGGCATGTATTCAAAGGGATCCACATGGTGTTCAGTATCCGTTCTTCGGCATATTCAGCTCTATCATCCTCTCAATGGTTTAGGATGTACGGAATTCTGGCCAAATTATCTCTTCCCTGACGGCACAATTTAGAACTGAGTGGAATATCGGTAGATTCGCTTCATAGGCAATTCAATCTCCAGCAGAGTCATCAACAATCTTCGGTATCATAGGCTCCCCAGTGCGAATTCTTGTCAGCATCCCCATCGATCTTTGGTACTGCGGGTTCCCAACGCCAGTATGTATTGGCATCCCCAGTGATGAGAAACAGTTCCCAACAGGACTTCTCTTATCCTCATGAAGTCTATTCATTGGCATTGGATATAGCTATCACTGCATAACATTGCATCCACAAAAGCGCGTAGCCAATCCATCAGAATGGATCTTTGCGGTAAAAGAAATTCAAACATGCATATGAAGCATAAGCCAAATCAGGTAGCTTACACAAAAGACTTGAATCATTCAAGGATAATAATACATCTCGACAAGAGGGTATCATTCCCAAATCCCCAGCTGATGACCTTCGCCTTCACAATGCCCAGCAAAATTAATACACCTTGTCATTCTAAACCTAGTTTTCTTCTGGTAGGCGGTTACCATCTGACAAATAATTCAGTCTTCCAAGACTCGTCTGTGTTTAACCTTTCTTGATACTCGTCTGTATCTTCTTTCGATACTCGTCCGTATTGATTCAAACACTCGTCCGTGTTTAACCTTTCTTGATACTCATCTGTATCTTCTTTCGATACTCGTCTGTATCGATTCAAACACTCGTCCGTGTTTAAACTTTCTTGATACTCGTACGTATCTTCTTTCGATACTCGTCCATATCGATTCAAACACTCGTCCGTGTTTAACCTTTCTTGATACTCGTCTGTATCTTCTTTCGATACTCGTCCGTATCGATTCAAACACTCATCCGTGTTTAACCTTTCTTGATACTCGTCTGTATCTTCTTTTGATACTCGTCTGTATCGATTCAAACACTCGTCTGTGTTTTACCTTTCTTGATTCTCGTCCGTATCTTCTTTCGATACTCGTCCGTATTGATTCAAACACTCGTCCGTGTTTAACCTTTCTTGATACTCATCTGTATCTTCTTCCAATACCCATCTGTATTGATTCAAACACTCGTCCGTATTTAACCTTTCTTGATGCTCGTCTGTATCTTCTTGCGATACTCGTCCATATCGATTCGAACACTTGTCAGTGTTTAACTTCTTGATACTCGTCCATATCATCTTTCGATACCCGTCTGTATCGATTCAAACACTCGTCTGTGTTTAACTTCTTGATACTCGTCCATATCATCTTTCGATACCCATCCGTATCGATTCAAACACTCGTCTGTGTTTAACCTTTCTTGATACTCGTCCATGTATTCTTTCGATACTCGTCTGTATCGATTCAAACACTCGTCTGTGTTATCTCTTCCTTGATACCCGTCTGTATCTTCTTTCAATACTTGTCCGTATTGATTCAAATACTCATTTGTGTTTAACCTTTCGATACTCGTATATATCTTCTTTCGATACTCGTTCGTATTGATTAAAACACTCGTCCGTGTTAGACTTTCCTTGTATTGGCATCACGCTACGTTACAAGTGCGATCTTTACCTTGTATTGGCATCACGCTACGTTACAACTGCGATCTTTACCTTGTATTCGCACCACACTATATTACAAGTCTGATCTGTTCCTTGTAATTGCATCATGCTACATTACAAATGCAATCTCTCCCTTGCATTGGCATCATGTCCCGTTACAAGTCTTCTTTGTCCTTGTGTTTACATCATGCTACCTTCCAACACTCATCGTGTCAGCTTCTAAACACTCGTCGTGTCACCTTCCAATCTCCGTCTCTGCACTAAAAACAAAAGTTCTTTCTCCAGCAGATATCACAAAAAATAAATAAATAAATACTCACACTTTCCCCCAGAACAAATTTTTGGCATTGGTATTTAATCATCTTCAACCTTGAACTTTTGAAAGGAACACACCAATCGTACTTTCCGGTTTAAGACGATTAAATAGGGGCAGCTGTAATACCCCAAATTTGTCCTATCTCTTTCACTTTTATCTGGTTTATGCATTTTGTGCTCCTCATTCCATCTGCATATCCTCCATTAGGTCATTTAACACAACATGCATTCACTAACAATAAGGCTTAGCACAAGGATCGAGGATCTTGGAGAACTAGGGTTTCTTTAAGGCTTTAAGGCTCTTATCTTCTTCCAAGGGATTCAATTTGTTCTTCAATGCATGAGAAATATACACGGTTGTTTATACAAGGCATTCTACAAGAGTCTCCTTCTAAGGACTATAAGCTAAGACATTGACCACTTTCTTCTGTTCATCGCCATTCCGAGGTTTATTTCCCTGAACGTGTGTCCTTCAAGAGGGTTTCCTCATGAGGTCTTAAATTTAAGGTAACCTCATCATTGTTAGTTCGACTGAATGGAATTAAGGATCATTGAAGATGCAAGTCGATTGGAATTTACTCATTAAGATTTGAAGCAGATTCGAGGTTCACTTAATTCATCTTCCATTATTCAAGATCTAGGCATGGCATATAAGTGGATTTGGTTTCAGTTCTTTATGAGATATCAAATTGGATTCAAGTTTTGATTCTAGATGTCTCATGATAAATTTCAAACGTCACTGTCTTGAATCCCTAGATCATCCTTTTTTCTTTTCAATTTCGTCCATTGTTATTCTATTTTATATATTTTTATCAATTCAGTAAATAAATATAATTATAACATTTATTCTGATGATTAGTGAAATTGAAAATGGGTTGTGGGATGCTATGGGCATGGACTAGACCATTTGATTCCTGGATCCAATGGGTTTTTTGGTAGCCTTTTGGTTTGTTTACTATAAAAAAATTGCTATTGGGCTTATTTTGATGGGTTTGGTGCCGTTCTGATTTTTGCTTGAAGCGCATCATGGATCCATCTTTGTACCTCCAGAAGTGTTATTTTCAATGTTTGTTTCAATTACGCTTGCGATTAATGTTTCTGATTTAATTTTTGTGATATTGGTAAATAAAAAGAGATTTAGGTGGAGATTTCACGAAGCTCTAAAGCTAGCCAAGAGAATAATTGTCATCAAGTAAATTCAAGGGAGCTTTTGGTAGAGTTTTCTTATTGCTTGCGTAGTTTTGAAGAGGCAACGGACCTTCTCTGTTCGGTATCATCGTAACTTCATTTTATTCCTCATTTTCGCACTTTATTGCTTTCTAGATACCATGAGAAGTAGGAAATAAAGAGTGTGCGCTTGAAGTCGCTGTTTAAAGACCTGTAGCAGGCATTCTGCACTTCATTTGCTATATGTGTTGTGCTTATGTTTGTTTCTTTGATCACAATACAAATTCAAGAAGAAATATTTCAAACCATTACACTATATTTCCTCATACAAACCATTACACTATATTTCCTCATACAAACCATTACACTATATTTCCTCATACAAACCATTACACTTTATTTCCTCATACAAAAAGAATCCTATGTGACTGCCAAGTTGGAACTTAGTCATAGGACTGCCCATATTTCTTCCACCGTGCCTCATGAGTTTTGAGATTTGGCAATGGGAGATGTGATCAACACTGTCTTGGCCAAGGATACTTGACTTTGTTATAATTTTCTTTACGTGAAGGTCATTAATATTGTTGCCCCATCCATGGAAACCTGTATTCAACAAAAGGAAAAAGCTAGCATCAGGATTAACCCATGTTATCATTCAACTGTTCCAGAATCATCACATCTGTAACATACATTCACATGATTCATTTAAATACAGCCCTACAACTTTCAGAGAATAAGTATGATTCACATGACTACGACATACTCGTGCTGCCAAATCGAATTCAAGCTGAGTGTGATACATGTACATGGGGCAACAATTCATAATCGGTTTAGACACATTACCTCTTCACCATTTGTGCAAACAGTTGCTCTACGAGACTTGAATAACCCCAACCATTCGAGTATAAAACCGAAGACTTTGGAAATTGTCTCATAATAATTACAAACCATTATCATCAAGATTGCAGCATAAATTAACATGCATTCTTCTTCAGGTTCTAGAATTACAACACCACCTATAAGCAGTTGTAGTACCCACATCGAGGAAACGAGAATGTTAGCATACAAGTTGACACTCACATTTCATGTCCATGATTCAAAAATAGCATGTACATAAACTCAAAAAATGGGGGCAGAAAGGGAGGAGTGCCAAGTATTAACATGTTCAGCAGCTCATGTGAGTTCAAGAATATATGGTGGTTAAAGGAAGGAAATCGGTCAAACAAGGGCAATGTCATAAGTTGGAATCTGATTCAGTCAAGTTCAACCCTACTAGCATATTATTACTAACAAAATCCTATAACTTAAAAAAACAGAATTTCTAACTTCTAACTTCCCTAACCAACCATCTAGTTAACTGACCTGTAACCAACTCCCGCTCTCCTAACTCTCATCCCCTAACTGTTTTCCTAACCACCTCCAACCAATTTCTAACCGCATCTCAGCAAAAGAAAAGAAAATAACAGAAAATCATTATCCAACTGCCATAACATCTTCCCCAACTAACCTCTACAAACTTCCAAACGATTCCAACTGTCCATAACCGTGATAAACTTCCATTACAAGAGGAGAAGAAAATAAAATAGCAAAAACAGAATTCTAACTAACTTCATAACCGCCCCCAGCTGTAAAAAAACCAGAAACAGAACCATCCCCATACCCTAACTAACTTCTAAATACTAACCAATAGTTTCAAACTCCTAACAACCTCTAATTCCCTAACCGTTTCTTTCAACTCCACAACAGAAAAACAAAAGGGATAGAAGCAACAGAAGAGAAGGAAGGGGAGAATACACGTTTTTTCACCAGAAAATCACAAAGAAACTGACCTTGAATCGCTCCTCTGAGTTCTCTCTGAACTGCGGCATGATCATCAACCTTTAAGGATCAACATCTTTATCAACTCTCTACAAGCTGCTTCAGTCTTCAATCCACGACAAGCGCAACTTGACAGCACAAATTTTTTTCTTCTCCGCTCAATCTTCATCATTCTTCAGCTCTCTGAAGAATCACCAAAAATCCTCTCAACCTTCACTATCTTCAATATCTCACTAAAAGTCGGCATCCACCGCTTCATCAACCTTCGAATCTCTGCATCGATCGTCATCTCACGTTATTGCCACGCGTAACAATAACAACATCTCTACATCGCTAAGCTGAAGAACAAATTGTGAAGGTGATGATGTTCACGAAGGCGGATTCAGTCGGGCAACCGTCGAAGAGAAAAGGAGAAAGCCGTCGCTGAAGAGCCCTCGTTCACGAAGAAGATGAGGCGACGCTGTCTTGAATCCCTAGATCATCCTTTTTTCTTTTGAACTCCGTTCATTATTCATTCTATTTTATATATTTTTATCAATTCAGTAAATAAATATAATTATAACATAAACTTTGATGATTAGTGAAATTGAAAATGGGTTGAGAGATGTTATGGCCGTGGAATAGACCATTTGATTCCTGGATCCAATGGGTTTTTTGGTAGCCTTTTGGTTTGTTTACTATAAAAAAAATTCTATTGGGCTTATTTTGATAGGTTTGGTTCCATTCTGATTTTTGCTTGAAGCATATCCTGGATCCAGCTTTGCACCTCCCGAAGTGTTATTTTTAATGCTTGTTTCAATTGCACTTGCGATTAATTTTGGTGATTTAATTTTTGTAATATTGGTAAATAAAAAGAGATTTAGGTGGATATTTCACGAAGCTCTAAAGCTATTCAAGAGCATAATTGTCATCAAGTAAATTCAAGGGAGCTTTTGGTAGAGTTTTCTTATTGCTTGCGTGGTTTTGAAGAGGCAACAGACCTTCTCCGTTCGGTATCATCGTAACTTAATTTTATTGCTCATTTTCGCACTTTATTGCTTTCTAGATACCATGAGAAGTAGGAAATAAAGAGCGTGCGCTCGAAGTCAGTGTTTAAAGACCTGTAGCAGGCATTCTGCACTTCATTTGCTATATTTGATGTGCTTGTGTTTGATTCTTTGATTGTTGATCGATGAGTCACTCAATTTAGCAATTGAGATCACGACTTCACTCTCAGTGCATGCTACCTATAGGATTTTATCTCTTTTTGTTATTTCTTGTTGATAGATGAGTCACTCAATTTAGAAATTGAGATCACGACTTCGCTCTCATTGCATGTTCCCTATAGGATAGTTTTGTTAGACTTTCTTTGGCGTGCTAACCTAGATAGGATCTCTCTTCAGGTGTGCTCTCTTGAGTTTACTGGCTTTCTTCCTTTATCCTTGTACATATCATGTTCCCTTAGGATGCACTTACTCCATTCGGATGCGAGTTAGACCTTAGGTTGTAAACCATGCATGCTAACATTAGGTAGAAACTTCCCCTTTCATCCTTGAAGTAGGGCTACCATTGTATGATAACGTTAGGTTAGAGATAGGCTAGTCTCCCTTAGACTCTTTTCTTCCCTTTTTGCATCCTTGAATTCAAAACTAAAACTTCTTTTCTTAGCAAATCAAAAACATGTTAATCACACTTAAACCCTTTTTTCAAGGTAATAAAACACAAACCAATTCAAACCATTTTGTGCGCTCGAGCACCTTTTCTCATAAAACCCTTTTCAGGTAAGGACATGATTAATTTACTTATGTGCCAACGCGTGAGTCTCCAAAGGTAGAGCTACGGCAGAAGGCGGGATTAACATTGTCCATAAAAAACACAAACAAATAAAAACATGCGAGTCGAACTACGGTAGCTCTGATTCCTCAAAAAGGACACGTGGGCATTGAGGTAGGGCCCAAGTGAGTATAACTTTATTTTCCCTACATTATTTTCTCCTTTCTTTTGCATGCATTTTGCCTTTAGCAGTAGTAAACAGTAAGCATAGATTAGACACACCCATAGGATAGACAACAAGAGTGGATACCGTAGAGTACTACGGGCATGTGGGTGCTAATACCTTCCCCTCGCGTAACAGACTCCCTTACCCGATCTCTCGGTCGTAAGACCGTGACTTCTCCCTTCTCAGGTTTTCTCGATGTTTACCTTTCCCTTCACGTGGGGTAAAAGATGTTCGATGGCGACTTCATTGTTTGATGATTTTTAGCCGGTTGTTTCAACAATTGATAAAAATGCTACAACATCTTGATCAACATCAGTATATAACCACATTTTAGCAAAATTATGCCAATCCTAAATCCATGGAACTAACATTTACATTCTATTTTAGTAAAGTGTTTTTTCTTTCCTGGTTGTTAATTCCTTTTTATATTAAAAATATGTTTCTGGTGTCTGGATTTTTATGCGTTTGAGGAGTGGTAAAAATGTTGGACTTGAGACTTCACACACAAGAAGGGCCACTTAGGTTTACTCATGAACATACTAACCATTCCAATTGCATAGCAAATATCAGGTATGGTATTACAAAAATACCTCAAAGAACCAACCAATTGTCTGAAGGTGTGCGGAAACTTTACAATTATGTAGCTTAAATATCTTCAGAAGTTCAAGTTCATACTTTAACTGGTGCAAAATGATACTCTTCTCAGAGTACAAAAACCCCATCCCTAGAAAATATACCAATTTTCCCAGATCACTCATCTCAAACTCATTCATCAGAACCTCCTTAAACTTGGCTATATCTTCTAGATAACACCCTGTAAGCAATATGTTTTCAACATAGAGACACACCAAAGTCATATTGCCTCCATAATGCTGCACATAAATGCCATATTCCATCTCATATTTCTGAAACCCTTGCTTCTTAAAAAATGATTCAATCTTCAAGTTTCAAACTAAGGGCGCTTGCTTCAATCCATACAAGGCTTTATGAAAAATGTAGACCATCCCTTCCTGATTCTTTTTCACAAATCCATGAGGTTGTGACACGTATACCACTTCTTGTAACAGACCGTTCATAAATGCTGACTTCAAATCCAGATGCATCAGAGGCCAATTTCGGTTTGCAGTTAAAGTAATCATCAGTCTGATTGTTTCATGTCTAGCTAAAGATGAAAACACCTCAAAGTAATCCATCCCAGGTTTTTGAACAAAACCTCTAACCACTAGCCTTGCTTTGTGCTTGCCAATTGATCCATCTAGCTTAAAATTCACCTTGAAAACCCATCTGACACTTATGGATTTCTTCTTGTTTGGAAGCTTAGTTAAATTACAAGTCTTGTTTCTTTCTATAGCCTCAAGTTCCTCTTTCATGGAATTTATCCTCACTTCCTTCTTGAGAGCTTCTTCAATCCCCAATGGTTCAAAGTCTACTAACATGGCCTACTGAATGACTTCTCCCTCAAAGTCTACTTCAGTGTCTCGCAACATGTCAAACTTTGCAAATCATCTTGTTGTTTGTAAGATTCTTTGTGGTCTATGAACTTGTTCTTAATCTTCCCTAGAACCTGGAACAACGTTAGCTTTTAGACCTCGTCTAGAACCATGACCTTTAGAAGTATCTCCTTTGAAACATGATCACCTCCAAAAGTTTGTCCTCCAGAACCTACATCTTTAGAGTTTTCCCTTTCAGAAACATGATCACCACCAGATTCTGAATTATCGTCAAAATCTGCATTAGAATCAAATTCACCATCTGACTCATTTTCAGAGTCTCCATAATCATCTTCTGACTCTGACTCGTCTTCAGAAATTTCAAGTTTTGGCTCATCTTCAGAACCTTCTGAAGTATCTTCAGAAGTT